AAAACGCTGAATGTGTACAGCTTGTTTGAAAAGGCTGCCAGGAAAAAACATCTTGTCTCTAAAAGAACATGGCAGCACAGCTTAGGTTTGCAAAGTCACATCTGAAAACCCCCCCACAAGACTTCTGAAAGAATATCTTTCAGACAGAGAAGACCAAAGTGGAGATATGTATAGCACCATAGCACCATTTGTATGTATAGCACCATATTTAGAGAAAGCCAAACACATCATATCAGCACAATGGTCTCATGCCAACTATCATGCACGGTGGGGGAGGAGTGATGGAGTTTGTCTTGCAGCCACAGGACATGGGCACCTTGCAGCAATTGCATGCACTCCTCTGTGCTGATGTTTTGCAGACACGTGGCTGCTAACCACATGAGACTAACTTCTGTCACGCAGGCCTTGTGACCAGTCCATGACTATCTGGCAACCACATGTTGCTGGGAAAAAAATATGTATTCTCCAGCTGGGTGGTAAAATCTGTCTTGGGTTTAGTTGCTAGCATATTGCTGTGGTCATAGTTTGAATGGTAGTGAGTCTTATCTACAAACATCCAGCTGCTCTTCGAGGTGCAGTGAAACTGTGGAGACCATTTGCCTTCAACACATTTTTAAAACACTTTAAAGACAAACCTCCTCAATTTCTGGTCTGTGTTGGGGTTTTTCAAGCTTTGCTATTGCTCGGCTAGTAGTTAGCAAGCATTTGCAGACAATCATGACAAATTACAGGGATATTACAGGCAGCCATTGCAAACTGCTAGCAACCAAGTCAATAAGCAGGAGGTTTTTAGTGCAGCACCTTTTTTTGCAACCAATTTCACTCACCGACAGTCAGAAACCTCAAGAAACCACCGCCAGGAAGTCGGGAAATACATATTTTTCCCTAGCAACCGGTCCTTGTATTACGTCTAGTATGGGTGATGACTCTTGAGCAACGAGCGCATGACGTAACGTGAGAAACTTCAATACCAAAGTATGTGAGGCCATCTGCTCGACAGATAAAGCTTGACTGCAAGTGGGTCATGCATCAGGACAATAGTCCCAAGCACAGCAGCAAATCTGCAACAGCCCAGTCAAACTCCAGACTTTAACCTGTCTGAAATGCTGCAGTGGGACTTTAAGAGAGCAGTGCATGAATAAATGCAAATTCCAAAGATGTGTGACACTAAGAAAGTAATACAAAAAAGAACTTGTTTTATTTGCTTGTTCTCAATTTTTCACAGGACTGCTTAGAAAACTGCTGCTGTGAAAACTTCCCTTTTCACATGGCTGCTATAATCTTAGAATAGTTGATGTTCATGATAAAAATATCCAGAGCTTGACATAATGATCTTAGCATGTGTACAAGTAATCGCTGTGAATGAAAGCTCTAATTGTGCCATCTCAGACATTTTTTTCTAATTTTGGATCTGTATGATGTCAGTAAGAGCACATATCCCTTATATGGTCATATCAGAAGCCCCGCCCACCTCCAGTTCTGTTTTGTTTACTAGGAGCAGTCAATCAGAGGCAAGTCTGAAAGTCACCAAGACTCAGTGTGAGATAAGAGATATGAGATTTTGCTCTGTAAATCATGTAAAGCTCTTCATAATAGGCCCCCTTAAATTTTTTATTGCAGATGGTGGTGCACATTAATAATATGGACATGGATTAGTCAAATCTACTACTGCATGATATATATATGTACATACAAACAGGATATAGCTAATCCGTTTAACTATATAATTTGAAAAAATCAAATCAAAGCCAGTTTTAGTATAAAATATATATATATATATATAAATTTTGGGGAGATGAAAAGTTCTTTTTTTCCTTGACTATCATATATAATTAATGCAGCACATCCCGTGCTTCGTGTCAGTCTTACGCCAACTATCTTATCCTCTTGCACCCATTCCTTCATTTCGCTCGCTTTACACCCTTGACACTCTGCTGTACAGTATCAATTAAAATAGAGCCCGTTTTACATCCAAATGGCTGCTGAAAAGACTTTGATTTCCGTTTGTGCTTGCGGTGCAGAGATGCAGAAATTCCTCCACGCAGAGAGTGTGAAGAAACAGCCAGCAACAACTCGTTAAAAAGCCCGAGATTTCGTCTTCTTTTTTTGTCCTTAGTGTGCGTGTGTGTGTCTCCTCACAGTTTTGGCTTAGTGCTGCATGCGCTTCACCATAAAGAGGGTAGTTTTCCATTGATGAGCCGGCGCAGGCGGCTTCACCAGCAGCAGCAGCAGCAGCAGCAGCAGCAGCAAGCAACAGCAAATCACTGCTCTGTTAAAAGGCCCTGATGCGTAGCAAACACTCCTGCCAAGCCGCCTCGCTCCAAATCTGCCTGCTTGCAGACCCCCTGTAATTGGAGGCATTAAACTTGCTTTGGACAGGATGGCAAATGAGTGCTTTGAGCTTGGAAGAGAACTGACTGCTGCATTCAAAAGGGCTACAGCAGTAGATGCAGCTAAATCTGACTAATCGCTGCCAATCCAGCAGATCTGAGCGTGAGCGACGCGGGCGTGTTTGTAGTGAGCCTGTGTGTTTGTGTGTGTGTGTGTTATTTTCATGTCTTCTGTGGGTCCTGTCTTGGCTGGTGTTCTCGTGTGATTATATACATCCAGTATAACGGCTGGGCTGGTGTTAATCTTTCAGTAATCGTTGGGATCGCTGCGGCGACGCAGCGATTTGATGTTGAACCGCAGACGGTCGGGGTTAGTGATGAGCAGCGAGCAGCCTGCGAAATAAAAACCTGCCTGTCATCCTGCCACCGCTTCCTCGGCTCCCCCCCCCCTCCCCTCCACGGAGCACGCTCATTAAAATCGCTGTGAGGAAGCGTTTCAGCTGATGGTACAACAAATCCAGATATTTTCCTTTAGGTTTGCTGCCGTCCTGCGTCGTCTATCAGGGCCCCGCAGCAGCTCTGCTGTGATTGGAAGGGACGTGAAGGCTGGTTTATAGTGAGCAGCAGGCTGAAGCGGCCTGCAAAAACTGGAAACGCTTCAAAGGTTTTGATGATAAACAGGATGCAAATTCTCACTTTTGACACCGTGTCAGATCTCAGATGTAGCGGTGAAAACCAAGAGACCGTGATTAAAAGCAAGGCCCCCCCCCAAATGCAGCTTCCCCCCGACAGACTTCCTCCTCTGCAGGCCCATGTGCAGAACACTGCTCCCCAAGGTCGGGCATTTCTATTTCTTTGTTTTCCTTTTTTGATGTATCCATAAAAACCCCACCACAAAGCATCTATCTACCTTATCTACCTGAGAATCTGACACACTTGATAAATGCCACGGGGCTGTGTGTTGACTGCTGTGTGCACATCCTGTGGGAGCTGCAGAGATGATTAGAGAACATGTGGAGAACACGGCAGCAGTCTTCCCTTTGGTGGCTGATCATACAGCAGCAGCCTGAGCTGTGAGTCAGAGATGGTTAAGTATGAACCCCCCGACAGTCGAGCTTCCTCTCAGTCAATAAAAACAGTGGGTGACAGCTTCACTCAACCGCGGCAGTACGCAGGGACCTGGTTTGTGTCCTGGCAGACAGATTAAAGCCAAATAACGCTGACATTTGGTGTGAAGCCAGATTAACTTTGCCTCCTTGAAGCCTCTCCAGCAGCAACAGAGACTGCAAAATCCCCAGAATAGTCCTGTGGTCTCGCTAATTGGCGAGCTGTGCGGACGGGGCTTTGATTAATCTTAAATCTTAATGAGTTCATCCAAAGCCGCTGTGATATTCCGACCGAGGAGGTAAAACACGCTCGCTTCTCGCTTAGTTTCATCCCACGGCTGGATGAGAGGAGGCCGGGAACTTCGGCCTAGTGAACCCACGGAGAAATCAAAGAGAATACCAGAGATCCATTTAATAATTTATTTGCATATGATTATCGTAAAAATACTGAAAGAGAAATGCTTATTTTTGTTCTAGTTTTTCTGGCAAATTTTTTTCTTCTTTACAATCTAATACACCTTTACTTGCACAGGAAAAAAAAAAAAAGAGTCTGCCCTAACAGACACATTTTCTTTCAGCGTGACATATAGTTTCAGATATTTAATGACCATTTAACTGTAATTTTCCTCTATTTGTCTGCTCCTCAACATTAAACAAACAAGCATATAAACGAGGGTCATAGAGAGGCCAAAGTCAGGTCAGATAGTTGTAAATGCCGAGCAGGTTGGTCTAATACAAATATAGTGTTATATACAGGCAGTCGTTTTAATAGGAAACTGCGCTGAGAGCCGGCGTGCTGGAGAAAACACGTGAGGAGAGATGAACCAGCGAGCGGTTGATTTTACATCCGTGTTTGTAGGTCTGGTCGCTATTAAGGTCACCAAGCTATCATCTGGATAACGACCTTTTAGATTCACACTGACCTGCAACACCAGAGTTTAATGTACAACACAGCATTACCACAGGCGCTTTTAATTTGAGGAAAAAAGAAAATCCCCAAATCCAACAACAACCAAAAAAAAAGAAAAGAAAAGACAGGCCCTTGAACATGTCTGCTCAGTGGGTTTAAAGGTAATGTACTCTGTGTGAGCAGAACTATTGATTCCTAATTCACCCATTCATGTCTGTCTGCTTTGTTTATGTCAGAAAACAAGTGATTAAAAAAAAAAAAAAGGTAAGTCCAGGTAGGAATCACCTCTTCGCCAGATAATAAGTTAGCATTCAAAACAATGCGTCCGTGAGTCAAACAAGATTAAGAAAAAACGTGGACGTTAAAGCCCATCCAGCAAGATGCCGACAAAGCAACAGTTAAGGAGGACCGTTATTCATCCTTTTCTCGTGAAGACGTTTCCACTTTGGCATGCACATGACGTGTCCCGCACAGTGTCAGCTACGCCTCCCCTCGGACCGAGAGAGAGACGGTGTGAAGACTCGGATGCTTTGTACAGGTTTTGTAACGTCTCCCGTTACACACGGAAGACGGTTTTTAAGAGGAAGCGGATGAAAAGTGTGTAGTTCTTTTTTTCTTGTTTTACAGAAAAAAATAAGAATAATAAAATTTGCAAAATGAATGAACATATTTGGTTGGGTTTTTTTTCTTTTAAAAAGAAAAGGAATCGCTGATTGGAGAGATGGTCCACAGCTGTCTTTGAGCTGGTTTTAAGCAAACGATTGCTTTATCTTGGCACTGTTGCATCATCTGCGTGAAATTGCCCGCCCTGTCCTCAGTCGGAGGGTGAAGAGAAGGAAAAGACTGATTCCCCAACCAGCAGAAAACACATGCAGACATGCAAACACAACCTGAGAGGGAGCAATAAGAAGTCTGGCTTTATGTCAACAGTCACAAATCCACAAGTGTCAAGTAATGAACACACACACTGGAATGGAGAGTTCTCTTTAAACAGACACTGAGTCTCCAGTGGGAAAGAAATCTCCAGATTGGTCCTCTTTCGCTGTGTCGCCGGAGCTTCCATCCTTTTCATTTACTACTTCTTCTTTTTTTAAATTTATTTTACATCAGCTCTTCGTCTCAAGAGTTTTTAGGTAGTTTTTAGCTAGTCCTTCCAGCTCACACCCTGATCGGGAGAGTTTGGCTCATCTGTTGCCGAATGATTTCCTGACTGTTGTCCGGACTCTTCCTGTTGTGTCCCGGCAGCGTTCCTCCCAGCCGCAGCAGGTCCCTGCCAACACAAAGCCACACAGGTCAGCGCCAAGTTCACGGCCACTTTAAACAAAAGGTGCAACTCATTATCGCGCCACTAAGTGCTCTCGCTGAAGGTGGATAAAGGCCTAATCCATCTTGGTGTCAAGCGTAGCTAAATTCTGCAGAGTCTATACACTTAAATCTCCTGGTTATGGACAATGAAAAAATACATTGCCAGGAGAATGAGCTCAAAATTGCTGATCCGGAGATTCGTCTGCTATAAACAGCATCCAACTCAAATGCCAAGCCTGAATCTATTCATCGCATTTCCAGTTTTAATAAAAGTTCAACACATTTCTCGGCTATCTTGGAAAAAGCCCCGCGAGCCTCCGAGTGTCCTTTGTTCCTCGGCCAGTGTCCTTGTTTTTAAGGCCCTCGTGGCACAAGATACTCCACAGATAGCGCCGCATCTCATATCCTCTCTCTCCCTCCGTTATCTGCCCCGACATCACTGAGCAGCCAATGGCAGGTGAGCAGCAGCGAGCGCTCCGACGGCTCGCGCGCGCACGCGCAAACACGGGAGACGCTCTCTAAATCATGCTCTGACAACATGATCCGTTCCCTCTCCTCCTCTTCCTCCTGCTCCTTCTCCATCTATCTCTAGCTGCTGCATACAGATGAGGCCATAAATTAATCATTGGCATGTCATCGGAACACAACAACAGCACAACATGCATACACACACACACACACACACACACACACACACCCATTGCCTTCCTATTTGCTCATCACAGCATTGGGTGCACCCTCCCCTGATGCATTAAAAAGCTCATTAGCAACCTAATTAAACACATTCCTCTCTTTTAGCTTCTCCTCAATCTCCCTTATTACTCACACTTCATCACCTCCTGCTTTTCCACATCAGCAGCTCTGGCTGCTGTCTGTCCTATCACCTACATTCCAGCATCCAGCCAAGTATAGGGGGAATTAAACTGAGGTCAGCCATTACATTTCCACACACAATTAGCTTCGCCGAGCCCAAATCCTGGCATAAGAATCGCCCTTGGGGCTCAGTGTTAGAGTGAAACTGTGAGCCAAGAAGCTGGCATCAGACCCGGATCCTCTGCGTACAATTTCTGCCTCATGTGACTCTGAAACAGGGTGCCATCGCCGACGTCAGAGGCAGGGGCTCGAGGACGTGTGCTCGTTTCGTTACGCATCGGTTAAGATGTAGGGATCTGGTACGTCTTAAAAGAAGTACTAATCATTAAAATTCAACAGTGAGAACAAGCTCGAAATCGAAGACGGGCGCCTACGAGTAAGCGAAATCTTTACACGTCCACGGGAAATGTCAGAGTCCGCTGTCTGCTCGCAAAGGCCTTCAGCTCAAAGAGGCATCCTCCAAGTCCCCCAAAAGCATAAAACAAAACCGAAGCCAACAAGCATGAACCCTGTTGTGCCTTTCCTTAGGCCAGCCATAATTTTCTTTACTGTGACATCTCATTCCCACAACCCAGAGGCGCGGCGCTGCTCGTCCCTGCACCAGTCTTCATCCTGCACTTCACAGCCGTCATATGCAATACAGAGGACAATTTCGCACAAGGTGAAAGAGAAGGAATTGCATCACTGCTTCCTTGTGTTTGCACTATTTCTGCTCTTATTGCAGAAAGACCTCAAAAGCATTTTATGCCTCGGTTATACATCAGGTGCCAAGTCTGCCACAACACAGCTGGTATTATTTCTAATTAGAGTCCATGCTTCTGCATTTACTGTAAACTCTGGCTGCTGCTGCTGTGACCCAGGAATCCTCAAAACGGACACGAGCTGGATTCTAAATTTGCAGCCCCAAACACTCGTTTAGAACTTCCTGTGCATGGAAATCCACTGATATTTTATTTATTTTTTCTGTAGCAGCTACCAAGAAAAGTAAATTCAGCGAGTTTCTCTGAAGAGTTGCTAAATCTCGCAGCAAACATGCCAAGGTGGTGACAGTGAAGCGCTTTGCTCTTTCCACAAAGGACTGAGACGCAACACTTTTCTAAAAGCAACACTCTCCATCCACTTTTCAACTTCTCTTCATCTACTTTAACATTAACTTCAACTTCAACATTGATCTTTAGCTAGAAAAAGAGAAAACTGTCTCAAAGTGCTCGCTGGGTGGTGGGAAAGTGTCTGAAACCTCCAGCCTTCCAACAAGGTAATCAAAGTCTGGGATTCTAACAGATCTATGTAGCAATGGGAATTGCATTTACCTGTGTGTTCCACCCGGAGTCTGGAGAGTGTAACACCGGAAGGTGAGAAGTAGAGACTCATGACTGTTTATTAAGAGTTTAATAAAAGTTTACCTCGGAGGAGGGAAAGTTCAACTGAGCATCTTGTGAAGTTTATGGAGAGAACAAGATGAAACAATCTATACCATCTCTGGATGGAAGAGAAAATTTAACCGAACTTACTTGTCTTCCTATAACCGACAGAAAAACCATACTGAAATCAGCCCGACTCTGACATGTCACATGGACATCTACTTTAAATTTATCCTGCATATACAGTTAGATTTGAAGAGCAAAGTTTCAGATTTAATTCAAGAGGTTTTTACTAAATATTTGAATGAACTGTTCAGGAATTGCAGCCATTTTTATACATAGCCCCACATTTTTAATTGGACGTTTGACTGGCAAACAGTTTTAATAGGCGGGTGAGACCGGTGGGTGAGACCGGTTCCCTCCTTGTTATTTCACGGTAAATGAAGAAAACATAATAAACAAAGTTCATTAAGAGGGAAGAGAGGGAAGCCATCAATTCACTGAAAAACAATCTGGTACTTTCTTAAAAAGAAAAGAAGAGACTGGTCAGCTCAGCAAGACCAAAAGTGAACTAAAGTGGATGATCGCAGAGTTATTTACATGGTTAACAGAAACATCTTCAAAACATCTAAACAAATCAAAAAGAAAAAAGGAAAAAAAAACAACAACCTTGAACTAGTTTTTTCAATCACTATAGAGGATTCACAAAGTGCAAACCACTGGTTACACACAAGAAACAAGAAGGCCAGATTAAACTTTGTAAGGGAAAAATCTAAAACAACCTGCACAGTTCTGAAAAAAAAACCTTTGGACAAATCAAACCAAGATGAATTGACTGTTTGCCTTAATATGCAACTTAATATGCACTGCAACAAATCAAGGACCTAACTGTAGACTCACCCTGAGTAGGTGCTGGTCACCACCTTGAGGCTTGCGGCGTTGCGAAGCAGCTTGTCCAAAGTGCTGACGATTCGGGAGAATTTGGGCCTCAGGTTTCTCTCCTTCATCCAGCACTCCAACATCAGCTGGTGCAGCACCATGGGACAGTCCATGGGTGGGGGCAGCCGGTAGTCCTGCTCTACTGCTGTCATCACCTGAAGGCAAAGGAAGTCAATCTTAACAACTGGCTTGTCCACACAGGGAGTGTTTCACTTGTTGTGCATCACTTTGAAGCTGACAGTTTACTCCTGACTGATGAATGGTAATCCTCTCATTTATTTACAATATCCAGTATGCTGCACTCTCATTGGTAGTCGCTTCAATCACTCAGCTCTAAGTTGAGAAAAGTTTATACTGGAATTGTCTGTCTAAGTCGGGCACTTAAATAATTTTAACCGTGCACGTAACTTAACGGTCACAAAAATTTGTATCTGTAAGGTAATTTTGTTTGAGTCTCCACTAAATACTGAATGAAGCTAAAAGCAATAATATAGTATATTTGATGTCAACACTGACAAGGGTTTTATTACAAGTGTAAGATAGTGTAAAAAACTAAGGTGTAAACATGTTTCATCCTCAGTGCTTGCCAAGCTGTCTCCAAGGTAGGAGAAATGTGACCATCAACCAGTTTTCAGCCAGTGGGAGGGTACACCGACATCGCTAAAGTTAGCTAGCTAGTTAGTGCCAACGCTAGCTAGCAAGCTAGCTAACATTGGTTTGTTTTTGTTTTTGTCAGGTATTAATATTATACTTGTGGCATGATTTGATGTTTGTGGATGCTGAAGTGTCTTGATGAAGTCTTTGATGTAAAAAAGGGTCGGAGGCTTGACGAGTTGTAAAGTTCTGCAAAATGAAGCAGCTAATGTTGATAATGGTCATTAGCTACAATCGCCATTTTCAACAAGCGCATTACTAGCCGTCTTTGGATTTGAAACAACACTACCCTGTTCATGTACTATGCAAAAAGTATTTTGTACTATGCAGAAGTGTACTACAAGAGATAACTGAAAGAATACACCATAATAATGTTTAAAATGTTTAGGCTGTTAGCATTTTAAGAGGAGAATACCATTTGTTTTGCAAGTTTTTGATCATTTGCTAAAGAAATCTGAAACTTGTTTCAGCTATTACTCTTCATCCTTTGTATACTTGTAAGAAATTTTAATGGAAACCTATCTTAGAGTTTTCAGAAATTATTGCATTAAGGGATAAAGTTGAGGGGTCTCTGAAATCATTAAATTTCCTTTGAAGACAAAGAACACCGATACATTTGGACACATTTTATGGCAAGCTTTCTGATAATTGTAAACCTGTCTCACTCTGGTCCATAATCATTTCCGCCACAAACACATTCAAATGAAGATTACATTTGAAATTTGCTATGCTAAATAAATATCAACCCAGAAGACTGTGCATAAGGATTTAGGCAAATTTCATGTGGCGCCTCTACAGAGTGTTACCATTTGGCTCTGAATCATTCGTATTATGCTCATTCTGTTTGGCCTTTGTTGTTGTGGTGTGAGAATAATCGGCAGTTCCTGTATTATCTCCTGCATTAGACAGTTCCTCAGCTCGTGCTGTCACACATTCCAATCTTTCTTTCAGCGTCTTAACAAAACTATAAAAACAATATTCTCAAATTTGTCACTTCAGAACTGGCATGATTGATGGGAGAAACAATAAACTGGAGGAAGAACACGTTGGCTCACGGATGCGAGTTCGCCTAGCAACTGCATTTGCCTCCGTAAGCTGCGTATGGGTTTTAACTCCCCACAACAATAAAAAAATGCCATTTGGGAACAATAAAACATTTCTGCAGCGCTTCTCGTCTCCCACCGCTTGTTCTTTGATTTTTATGTCGTGCTTCTAGTCTGCGAGTACTTCTGTTTATATCTCGTATTTGTTGACTCTGTTGCTTATTGAGCGATGACTGTGGCACAAAGGCTATTGGGAACAATAGTGGGCTTCTACTTTGATGCTTTCATTACTGCATGTGGGTTCTGTTGTGAAAGTTATACATACATTACTGCCATTTTTCATTTCTGATCCTTTTTTTTCTCCTTTGCTTTATTGGTATCAGCGTTATAAGTCGCTTTTTTGAAGCTCAGTACAGAGCAGATATTCCTCAGAGAGTGAAGTGGAGGTGTACACATTGCTTCAGTACTTTGTTCAGGGAGGAGGAACCAAGAGATTTATTTTTTCTTTCCTTCGAGCTCACTGCTGCAGTTACAATGTCTGTGCAGTGCAGATAGCCTACAGGTACCAACACACGTAAAGAAGAAGGAGAGAAAAAGCCAATCCTGAGTATGCCTTTGTAAGTGTGAGGAGGGAGGCTTTGCAGTATGGATTTGTAGGGGGGTGGGCAGGCCAGGGCCGTAAATAAGGTGGTAAAAACTAGAACATAGGCACGCAGCTGCAACCAGCATCTGCAGTGAGGAGATAAAGACAGCAGAACAGGCCCGAGTCCAACATGTCACGCTGGAAATCAAAGCCACAGCAGCCTGGAGAAACTCTCAGCCGGCCCTAAACTTAGACATGAAACTCCTTCCATGAGCTTTCAGGCTATAGATATACGTTTTCTCGTGAGACTCTTGTGCTGACTTACATCCTGGTTGCTCATGTCCCAGTATGGCCGCTCTCCATAGGAGACCACCTCCCACATGACGATGCCGTAGCTCCATACGTCACTGGCAGAGGTGAACTTCCTGAAGGCAATGGCCTCTGGTGCTGTCCACCGAATGGGAATCTTACCGCCCTGCACACACAGACAGAGGGGGATGGTATCAGCACTCTGAAAGATACTCCAATCCTATAAGCGCAGGCACAAGCAGCAGCACACAAATGCAAAAAAAAAAAAACAGCAAATGCAAATTTCACAGATGGTGTCGCGCGCCAACGTAAATATTGGCACACGTGAACAGTCACACATGCATTTATGTGTACATGTGAAACAAGTGAGGGGGGATCGAATTAAGACGCCCAATTAAACAAGCACAGTGTACACAAACGCACAGCGGCACACACATTCACGCGTATTTCACCAACCAGAGAGCTTGTGTAAGTGGGGTCAGCGGAGGTGTCGTCCAGAAAGCGCGACAGGCCAAAGTCGGAGACCTTGCAGACCAAGTTGCTGTTGACCAGGATATTTCGGGCGGCGAGGTCTCGGTGAACATAGTTCATGTCTGACAGGTACTTCATGCCTGCAGCGATGCCACGCAGCATCCCGACCAGCTGTGTCATTGTGAAGCGCCCGTCGTTCAGCTGCAAGCAAGGAAAAAAAAACACACATGCACACAGTCAGAGATAGAGGGGGAGAAGCGGGGAGGGTGCAGCAGACGAGGCGGTTAATGAACAGGGAGTGGAAAATGAGAAAGAGAAAAGATGTGTTGAAACAGATGATAGGGGCGAGTACGGGAGATAAGAGGAGAACCAGAGGCAGGAGATCAGTCACCGAGGCCACGTAAACATGACATCTGTCATAGTGCTTCATGGCTCCCGCTGACAGTCACTGACAGCTGACCTTTTCATGCATGCTGTCCAATTAGCTGATTAATTAGAGTCTTTACTGTCATACTAAAGCTGGTATGGCTCGCCATTGACTCAACAAAACAATATAATAATGGGAGCCAAAACACTGCAATCAAAACCAGACCACTGCAGGTATTTTCCCCTCATTCACTGACTGACAAACTAGTAGCAGTTAAAGGCTGAACATGGCTTTGCTTTTTCTTCTTCCTGTTGACATGAGAATAAAATCAGCCCGTCAACAAAATCACTATGTCATGTTGCTCAAAGATCATTTGTAAAAAGGGCAAAGTCCTCGAGAAGCAGAGATTTGCCCTCTCGTGCAACATTTGAGAAGCATGAAAGTAATCTTAGATGAGGGCTTTCAGGGTTTAATTTACAATTCTCCGCATTTGTGACGCGTGTCACATACTCGAGATCGCAATAAATCAGCGCTCCTGACTCGCGAAGGCGCGTGTACCCTGATGTGTGGGAGCTGAACTAAAACTAATCAATTAACCAGTTAAAAAATGATCTGAAATTTCTGCAAAATTGAACGAAGCTACGGTGGGAGGTTTTCTCTCATGACCTGAATATCTAATCCGAGCGAAGGGAGTCACAGGGGTGGGGAAAATAAGAATTTTTTTCCCGACATAATCAATTCCTTCTTTGGCTCCGCGATGAGAAAGCAAAGAACACAGGACGTGCCATCGCAAACCCATAAACATCCTGCCTTGTAGTCTGCACACTCCAATGAAGTCTGACAGGCAAACAAGCCGGGATGGATGGATGTGTAAACAGCCGTGATTCATAGCAGGCCTTCAAAGCCACGGTGGCATGAGTGCATGTGTGTTATTTCTGTGTTTCTATAAAGTTTTCTACATGTGCATATGTCCACATGTCCGGGGGGGGAGTCTGAAGCTCCACTGCGGGTGACACGCTTGGACAGTTTGTGCATGTGTGCGTGCACGTGTGTGTGTGTGCATTAACTCAATAGTTTCCTTGTTAGAGCAGGACTCTGAGTTCCTCTGAGTCACAGGCAGTGTGACACTGGCGGGAGAGCGGGGGTGAGGAGAGCACAGAGCAGGCACTTTTTCTGTTATCTGTAGGACAGCTGGCTGAGAGGAGTGGGTGAGAAGGAGGGGAAAAAAAAGCTCAGGCTGCACTATCAGATGTGGAGCTGCAAATAATGAGTGTTGGCGTTATCAGTTCATTATTTATAAATTGAAAATTAACTTGAAAATTGTGAAAGTGTCCAAAATGCTTAGAAAGGAGACGGCGAGTTGGCTTGATGATTGACAAACGAATAAAAATGACGAAATACAATAAAAACACATATCCTAAAACCCAAAGATTTTATACATAAAAACATCTGAAATCGTCCGCAGTAATGATACAGATGATTACGTGATAACTAAGATTAGAACCAACAAATGTTAATTTAACTGAGCAACTGAGAGAAAGAAAAGAAATCAGAGCCTTTGATTCTGAAAAACAGACTGTAAAGAACAGGTTTAGAAGATCTCCAAAAAGTTGATTCTGTTCATCTGGACGTAGCGTTTTGTGGGAGAAACGTTTCGTCACTCATCTGAGTGACTTCTTCAGTCTCAGCTGACTGCAGGTTTCCCCAATCTTATAAACAGCCCACTGAGGAACAATGGGAGGTCAGTTCCTTAATTCCCCAACTCTCTGTGAATGGTACTCATGACCACTGATCAGTGGTTGTTGATCAATGGTCATGAGAATTTGCATAATTAAGATCAAGGAACTGACCTCCCAGCCCATTGTTCCTTCAGTGGACTGGTTTCAGTCATTATGCAAATGTACTGTTTATAAGGTTGGGGAAACCTGCAGTCAGCTGAGACTGAAGAAGTCACTCAGATGAGTGACGAAACGTTTCTCCCACAAAACGCTACGTCCAGATGAACAGAATCAACTTTTTGGAGATTTACTTTCCTGGATGATTGAGCATGCATCAAGAGGTTTAGAAGATATTTGTCACTATTTTCATGTATCAGCGTTATACTTAAAAAGTTCATGTACTTAAAAAGTGCTGCTGCACAAAGTAAATCTAAAGTATTTTAATGATTTGCCTAAATTATTGACTCATTAATGTGCACATCGGTTTAATGTGGCAGCTGGACAGGAGTTCAATCACCGATACCTTGCTGAAATGCTTTATATATAATAACACAGCATCATATATTAGTAGATTTACAATCTAAAATCAGCATATTTATATCATATCAGTGTTATCAGTCCGATCTAGATGTTGGGTAATGCAAGCTTAACAGCACTCTGGTCTGATAGCATTCGTGGTGTCATAATCATATTGGAGTGTGGCTGTCACCGCCCAATGCCCACTTCCCTGTATCGAAATGTAAACCAGCTAGCCCCCGCTCGCTAATTTCTGGCACTGCCGAGGTTAGCTGAGCTCAGTAACCCACTCTTAAAGAACCGTTAAAGTGTCACCAAACATATTAAGTTCAGATGAATAAGTCGGTCTCTACCGACTGGTTGGAGAAAAGCGTGGAAATCAACTAGAGCCAGCCGTTCATCGCCAATACGACGGTAAACTCGCCCCTCATGTCAGCGGTTTCTGTAAAGCTACTTATTCAGACAACATTTACAAATGTTATTAATTAGTTACACAGCGACTAAACGTAAAAAAGGAACAAGATTTTGAGTGATTAAATTTCAGAAGCTACGACTGATGAATATTTATCATTTATTCCATCTCGACAAATAATTATCAAAACTGATTAATTCCCCGCTGATCGAGAAAAGGAAGTGAGGGCTCTCGTGTGGAGCTGCAGCTATTATTCTTATTGCTGATAAATCAGCTGGTTTTCAGGTAATTAATGAATCCTTGTAAACTCCGATAGATCTTTCACAGAGTCAGAGAGGACCACGTCAAACCGCTTCTTTTTAAAACAAATATATTAGCACTCTAAAGTCCAAAAGGCTTTGAATTGAGAACGATTTTTAAAAAGAGATCAAATTGTGCTTGACAATTAACATCCTGAAAACTGAAAAAAGTGAAATTTGTGATTATTTTATTTTGTTTGAAATGCATAATATTAACATGTACATAAGTATTAAAAGTACTGCATTGATAAGTATTGAGAAGTTTGAAATTCTTCTTAGATCTGGCCACTTGACCAGTCCGAGCGATTGGGGTAGAAGGACCTTTTCTGCAGCACTCCACCAATCAGGCCTGTTTGATAGAGTGGCGAGACTGAAGGTTACCCGAAGGGCTTTAAGACCATGAGAATCAAAATACTCTGGTCTGATGAATCAAACATCGAACCCCTGGCTTGAATGCCCAGCATCACATCTGGAGGAAACTAAGCATCACCTGGCTAATACCATCCCTACAGTGAAGCATGGTGGCGTGCTGTAGGGAAGGTTTTCAGAAGCAGGAAGTGGCAAACTAGTTAGGATCAAGGGTAAGATGAATGCAGAGATATGCAGCCTAGATGATAACCTGCTCCAGAGCGCTCTGGATCTTAGACTGGAGCAAAGGCTCATGTTCCAACACAACAACAACCCTGAGCACACAGCCAAGAGTGGCCTTGAGCAGCTTCAACAAAGTACTGAGCAATACTTTTTTAAACTGTGTGACGAATTCTCTTTAAGAGAGAACCGACATCACACCAGGCATCAAACCCACCGAAACCAGCTCGACAAGCTGGTCAGTGTCGCCTTTCTTCAATATCATTAACAATATCCCCCGAAAACTGCTATTAATACCAGCATCAGAGCATTTATTCATCGCAAGCATGAAGAATCGTCATTTAGTCAAAAAGCTGCAATAGTCTTCTTCACAGTACAGCCACGCAAGAAAACACATTTTATTGGATGTAAATGACATGTAATAGTCCCCACGCAGCTGGAAATGTACCTTGTGACACCTCATTTCTCATCCCGCCTTTGTTCAGCGTTTTGTGTAGGTGGTCTGAACCAAAAACTCTGATCACTAATGTATTCTGCGGTGGTACAAAGACTCTCTAATACACAGAAGCAAACCTATCCAAAGGTCTGCGTGTGTGACAGTTTTCCACCAGGAGTTTGTGCACGGGAAGAGCCTGTCAGCATCACTCAGTCACGTCAAGCAGAGACACTATGCTTGTCTCCAGGCGTTATATTGCGCATTTAATCTCTATCACTCAGCAAGTAAAGAGCCTCGGGGTGTTTTACAGAGAGTAAAACATTCTGATAACCCAGAGGTATCGTGAATGACTGTGTGTGTGTGTGTGTGTGTTCCTCTCAGCTTTGATGCAAACAGAAAGCAATCTTTTTTCTGTCAGAGGTGTTGGGCGGCGCACGCCTCCCGCCAAGCTTACCCTGAGGAAGGAATCGAGCGCTCCGTTCTCCATGAATTCGGTGATGATGAGGACGGGGCAGCTTCGCGTCAGGACGCCCTCCAGACGGATCACGTTGGGGTGGTCGAACTGACCCATGATGGAGGCCTCGGCGAGGAAGTCCCGCCTCTGACGCTCGGTGTAGCCGGCTTTCAGCGTCTTGATCGCCACCACCATCTCCCTGCGCCCGGCCTGCTTGAGACGCCCGCGGCACACCTCGCCAAATTCACCTGGAGCGAGGAGAACGAGGTGGCGAGAGGAGGGGTGGGGGGTGATGGAGGTGGGCAGGGGTTGAGTGAGCAGAGGAATGAACGGGGAGGAGGGGTGGCGGGAAAGAGAGCGTCAGGGAGAGTGCGGGGAGAGGAAGCGTTACTGGTCGGACTCGGGAGTGAGTTGAGGGTCGACTTCGACTGTGGGAGAGAATTAGAAAAGAGAAGACGGGGGTCGCTAGTGGGGTCAGGGGTCGAAGATGTTGGGGAGAGAGGGAGTGACTGGTATAGATCGAGTGTGCAACCTGGGAGGGGTGCAGGAAGACAGAGGGTGGGCAAGGTACTTGAGGGTTTTGCATTTGGTGCCTGAGTACGAATGTTTACAAGGGAAGGAAAGACAGAGAAGACAGGAAGGTTGAACGAGCGGGAGCAGACTGTCATTTGAGGTGAAGTTAGGACACAACATGCTGCTGGAAAGACAAGAAAGAAAGAAATAAAGGAAGGAGGGGCGGAGAGCTACAGAGAAGTCCTTCCCACCCACAGCTCTCATGTGCACTCTGAATCCTAACCTTGCTCTCCCACAGAGGACTCTCTAACAGAGCAGCGCCCGGCCTTGATGGCATACTCTTGCTCAAATAAATGTTTAATAAAGGTAAATTATTCTGTCCACTTGGACAAAAAACATCAAGGTTCTTTACCTGCGCCGATGACTTCTTCTATTTTTACACAGGAGATGTCTATTTCTTTGGCAAACTCGTGGACTGCGTCATTGGGGTCCTCGTAGGTGAAAGGGTCGATGTACACTTTGACCCCCGGAGAAACTAAAAAATAGAGAAAAATGGAAAAAATCTGCATCTTTAATGTCGTTCATATGAGTTCATCTGTTAAAAGCAAAGCTTTGATTACGCCAACGGCTGAATAATATGAGTGAAATCAATGCTGCAGTATAAATAAGACATGTTCCTAGCTATGCTGTGTTTGATCCACGGATAGCAAAGCCAGACGATGAATCCACACTGATTCATCTCAACAACTTTGTGGCGAACTGCTATGAGATTCAGCATTCGTGTAATGAAAAGGATAAATCCTAATCCTAAAGATCGGTCTGACTTTTCTTCTGATGCACGAGTGGACATTTTTTACAGAGTGGCCACATATTGAATAAGTGAATCGAAATATGGCTGCAGTGAGAAGATTTCTAACATACAAAAACAGAACATAAGATATAAAACACGGAAAAATCCACTTAATTCCTACATGAACATTTACACTGATGTAGGAAATTGTAGGCATCTGCCCACATGTGAGTTAATCCCAGGATCAGGTCAAAATTTAAGGCCTAATCGTGTAATTTCCTTCTCGACACATACAAGGTTTTAATAATCACACCACATGTTATTTTCAGAGACCTTATAGTGCCATCCTGAGAGCACTTCTCTCTCAGACTGAAGGTTTGCTTGTGGTTCCTACGGTATTTAAAAGAAGACTGGGAGGCAGAGCCACCGCCACCGCATCCACCACTCAGCATTTAATAATTAGCTGTTATTCATCTCTGGCTCTCTTCCACAGCGTGTCTTTTATCCTGTTTTCCTCCACTCATTCCCAACTGGTCATGGCAGATGTATGCCGGACATTTTCTTCCTTTTAAAAGGGAGTTTTCCCTTCCCGCAGTTGCCAAGTGCTGGCTCATAGGGCATCGTATGATTTGGGGGGTCTTTAATTTATAATATAAAGCACCTTGAGGCGACTGCTGTTGTGATTTGGTAAAATTGAATCACTGAGTTTAGTTTATAATAACTGCAAGTGACACTATTGTGCTCAGACAGAGACTCACAGCACAGCAGTAGATTCTTAGTCCTGTTCTCCTACTGATAGCGCCTTGATTAAGATCTGTGCAGCGAGGCTGATGTTTTGCATTAGAATCTATCAAACCTATCAAAACAAAATATAGTTAACAAACAATTCATTTTGCTTTATTTTTGGCCTTCAAATAACAGCATCCCGTCCACAGGCAGACAGAAAAGTGGAGAACTTGAATCACATTGGGGAGCTTGCAACTCATGCCATGTGTGTCTCAGGGGGAAAAAATAGAAACCAAACAAATGACTTTCCGCAGACTGAAATTTCATCAAGCAAAGACCTCGGAAAAATGTTGCATTAACAAATATTTTACATTTCAGTGTGTGGGCAGCCCCTCCTCGTCCAGTGTGGAATTATTTCCCGCTGCGCACATATCTACTTCAACTCAGATGATCTGTGTGCTCGGACCTCCTCCGAGACAACAGGGAAATGTTTTCCTGCCTCAAACAGGTGATTGGATAATTGATTGAATCAGTGGGCTAACTGTGCTGGCATGAGCAAAAGTAGCACAGAGGAGACGGTTTCCAAGCTCAGCACATAAACTTACTGTATTGCTGCAGTTTCTCAGTGTACTCCAGCTCTGACCCGCTGCGCTGCTTCCTGTAAACAAGAAGCACATGAGAAAAGTCACATTGACATAATCAGCCCTGGCCAGCTTTCCAGGTACAGTGAATCAAGCTAACGTCTAACTGCGCTATCAGATAATCACAGGCTGAGGACGAAACTCCTGGCAGCACATCTGCTTTTTCCTTTCTTTGTTTCCCCTCTTTTGGAGCTGATTTGTAGCGGCTAACAGTTTACATCCTCTGAGAGCATGTTAAAATTTAATGAGCGTCTTTGTTCAAAGTCTAACGGACAAAGTGAAAACATGTAGTTCAGCCTGTCGGTAATGAAAATCAAACACTTACTTAAGGCAGACAACAGCGATAACCACCAAGGCAACAATGACCACCAGACCCGCGGACGCCGAGCCGATGATGAGAGGCAGCTGGTCCTGCACGGACTTCTGAGGGTCACCTGGGCCACGGAGACACACAAATGAATGCATAACAGCAGAGAGATTAAAGGGTGGCTTGCGCTGCATGCATAATGGCTACCAATTAGGGCAGCCATAAAAACTATCAAGTCTGAACCCTCATTAAGAGAACCGCTGCAGCAGATCATCAGGAACAGACGGTAAGGTGGGAAAGAACGAGTCCGTACTGTGGAGGCTGGTGCTGAAGTCCATGGGGTTGCTGTAGCGTCCATACCCAGCAACGGTGCGTGCTCTGACCTGCACCACGTAGGGCGTGGCAGCCCGCAGCCCCTCCACCTTGGCTGAGCTGTGCTGGGAAGTTACAGTGTGTGACATTGCCTGGCCCTGAAGGAAAAACATAAATATTAAATATTAGAGCAGCAGGGTTATGTGTCTCCATCTTTCTATCCTCGCTTAGCTTCACAAACTAATATCATACTTTGAAAAAATGTCGTGTCATAATTTTCTTCTTAGGGATTAAAGGATGAATTCATTATTCGTGGATGTGCCAGTCCTTCTTTTTATTCTAACAGACTAATAAGTTTTGCTCTTGCTGCTTTCTTTAGTCTATTACAGGCGTGGCAAACATACGGCACAGGGGCCAGAATTGGCCTGGCGAAGACTCTCATCCGGTCCGCTGGAGAATGTGAAGGAGGACATACACACTGTGGACTTTTGACTCATACATTTCATGGCTTGTAAAATGAGTTTGACATCCCTGGTCTGACCAGCTGGTTTTTTATTACTAATAAATGAGCCATTGCTAGCTGAAGATTGGCAATTTTCTTCTAGCTTTAGTGTTATAGACCCTTTTACAGTTTGTAAACAGTGATTACGTAGGCAGTAAAAGAGTCTGTAGTTCTTTTTAGTATATAACATTATCCTGGAAGTGTCACTTGTGACCACAGTACTTGGTGTTTAACAAAAATTGCTGTTATGTTTTAAATTCAGACGATAAGTGTTCTTTAAAACAAATACAGCTGAAGATGAACTCATAAAGAAAGAATCAAACCTGTGCTGATATTCAGTGTAGCAGGAGTAGGTCTTAAAATTTTAAAATGACTTAGCATTTTCCTCCCCTGGCTCCTTTATCTGAAAGTCAGCAGATTCTTTTTTTTTATTGGGCTTTTTCTGTGAGACGACTGAAATACGGTCTGCAGTTAATGCAAGCTTTAGTGGTAGTCACGTTTTGTACTACAACATAGAAAAATCCAAGTTAATACCTCTCTTGTGTATTCTGAAACTGTAACCAACCCAAGCCAACACAGAGGAGCCAAAAAAAACTACAGCTTCTTTAATGGCCACTTGAGGCTTGCTCTAAAAGTGACTCAATCTCCATAGACACCCATGTTAAAATGTCCAACTTTACAGCATTAAAAACACATGTTTACAGCCTGGCATTAAACAAAAAACAGTTTGGGCCTCTGTGGATAGTTTCCCTCTTTGTTATAACTGTATCCACCGAATACTGGAGTTGCATTAATACAGTTTATAGAAGAAGCTGCTGAACAAGCTTGTTAGTGTTTGCACTGTTAGCACTGTTCGAACTATGGCATCAAAATAGTGAGATTTTGGAGACACATGACCTCTAACTACTTGTCTAACCTGACTGTCATTTGGACAATGCAGGGTCAAGCGAACAAGTTCCAGTCACGCAGGCCTACAGGCTGGTCAATGACAAACACTTGTGTATGACTGGGTGGAAAAAGCCTCCTTGCGATTTCTTTGGCCACTACTATGTTGCTGCAGTCGTAGTTAGAAATTGAAGCGACAGACATGTGTAAAAACACTGTCCAACTACTCTCTGAGCTGTAGTGAGACTGTGAAAAGAGCAACACAACACATAGACAGCAAAAAATGCAAATTGCAGGCTGCACTGATGAAGCTTTTACCTAAAAAGTGAAAAATGTTTTGTGATTTGCATCGTGACTTTTCTTGTTTTACTGCTGCTGTTAATGCAATTGCTAGACAATTTTTTGTGAAGTATCTTCTTTTCAATCGATTTCAACCTTCAGGACAGGGGCGCCACCAAGGGTGGTTTCAGGGGGGGCACTGGTCATCCCCCCACAATTCTCCTGTCTGTCCAGGAAGGCCCTGGCATATTTTTCCATATATTTTTTTGGTTGTTGTATCACATCCAGGGTTTGGGTGTGACGCATTGGAAAGTAATACTTTAAGCTTGATTTAGACTTCTGTGGGAAATCTTCATCCTATCTTACAACATGACTGGAAGTCCCTCTTAACACTTAACCTTCCACATATCTTTTCTCCCAAGAAATTTAACTACATGGCAGGTCAAAGCTGCCCGGAAAGACTATGTTTCAGTAAGAAATCTACGTCAGTTACTGTTAAGAGAAGAGGTAACTAGCGGTTTACAGCTTTTGAGGACTGAACATACAGGGAGTGCAGAATTATTAGGCAAATGAGTATTTTGTCCACATCATCCTCTTCATGCATGTTGTC